GGATCCGAACCCGTGGCCTTGGTGTTATCAGCACCACACTCTCCCGAGTGAGCCTCGGGCCGGCCCTTCTCATGGCAATCTTTGCCACCCACAGCACTTTGTGGTTTCACTTGAGTTGCTTATAGTTCCTAAACATCCACTCACTGCAGTTCTCCACTTTTGATTAAATGCTTTCTAATCCCTGTTTTATCTAATAGAGATTTTGTTAGTCATAACCTTATTACCTATTTCCATTAAAGTGTATATTAGATTTTTTCATTACTTTTGTGAAGACTTTGGTTTTAAGATGTTAAGCTCAAGTGTAATGAATTGAGAACTATAAGCTATAGTCATAAATCGTACATTACATAGTTTCTTAACCTCAGTACCATTGATATTATGGACCAGATAATTCTTTGTTGTGATAAGTTGTATGGAGCATTGTAGAATATTTAGCAGCATCACTGGCCTCTACCCACTAGTTGCCAGTAGCACTCCCCCACCCCCATCCAGACATTGCCAAATGCTTTCTTGGAGGCAAGCTCACTCCTGGTAAGAAGCACTGGTTAATACATATATATCTTACAACTGTGGGCCCTGAACTAAAGTTGATGAAATTTTTAGAGACTCTTCCACAGGTTATATAGAACCAGTGGAAGTGATAATACTTACTGTAACAGTGAAGTAATATTCTTGCTTTAGTTAGTATCTGAAGATATTCATTGGATTTATTCACCGTAAATGAGATTTTAGGTAGAAAGTAAAAGAGCAGAAAAGTTTTTTTCTTCCCCTGACTGAACAGTAAGAAGTTGAGCAAGTTAACTTTCTCATATCGACTGCCAAGATCATCTACAAGATATTTAAATTGTTGTTTAAAAGAGTCATTGATGGGATATTGGGGGCTTAGAGACCCAAAGCAATGTATCTGGAAGTTGAGTCATCCAGGCAAACAGCTGACCTTAACATTCCACATCTGGCGTGAGTAGAGCACAGCTTGACAGCCCTGCTCAGAGGAGCAGGAACTCTCAGGGAAGCCTGTCTTCCCATGGCAGCTTCTCAGCCACCCAGCTGGGAGTCCAGGCAGGACTTCAGTCTCTTGGTGGGGAGACTGGTAAGAGCCAGTAGTACTCTAGGTATAAGGAGGTTCCCAGAACAGAGACTCTGACAAGAAGTGAAGATGGAGAACTGATTGCCAGCCCTGTGTAACAGGGGAATAAATTGGAAGCTGTTTATCCAAAGTGGCGATCAAGGGCTGGAGGCAGGGGGCATCTCAGGATGTGGGAATAGATATCCGTGTTCCTCAAACTCGCCT